CATTTCTGAAACTGATTTCCGAAAAGTGACGGAAAGGACTTTCTGGCTGTTCACACATGGAAATAAAATTTCTCTTTCTCAATTTGACAGCGAATTGCGTGGAAAAGTTGGAAATATTGCCACGTCTGACACGCTCTTTAATCGCACGGGGTAGAAGAGTTTTTGTAACAAATTACAACAAAGTATTAGTGGTATTCACGAATTGAACAAGTGGCCCTGCACTCTGGAAAAGGAGCAAATTAGCTCAAGCAACAGTCGTTGCTACACCTTTTGTTTCATATCTGTGGACTTTAGACAAAATAACTTTGCTTTCCGTAAGTTGGAATTTAGAGTAAAATATAAGGAACCTTTAATTAAGGATTTAACATTTTTATTTAACTTTCTTTAACAATCAGCTAATCTGCTATTTTGCTATAGTGCCCAGACTACTTGCTCAATTTGGTGAATACCTATGGTATGTTTGAGATGGAATGACGTGTTGTTTGAGATGACATGATATAGCAATGCCAAAGCAATGCATGAAATTTTTGAAAATATCATTTTTACCGAATATCTTGAATTGAACAGATGTGTATGTAACTATATACATAGTTCATGTACATATCGTTACCTTAATATAGAAGGGCCCTAACTCATTTTCTGTTCAAATTCAGCACTCAACAAAAGTCTGCCGATAACTCACTGAAATCCTATTGGATTTTAAAAATAACTACCACAACATAAAATTAGTTAAATTCTTCAATAATAACGGTATTTAAAAGAATTTTGTTGCAAAATAATTAGATTTTCTATGGAGTATTTCATCACTCCATAAAGAAACAAAAAGGTTAGATAGGGCCTTTCGATATTAAGGTGCCGATAAGTACATATGTATGTATGTATATGCACTTTTGAAGAACGTGTGATATTACATACTTTAGTAATTTGTGTTTAATATGTATAAACATACATATATAGTACGAAGTTAAATAAACTCACAGCATATTGTAACAATTGTTTAATTAATCTATATCATCTATAATTTTCAATATGGTAGTTTTATCAATTGCACTTGTCTAGAATAGCCCACATATGTACATACATATCGCACCCTAATTCAAAAACAGTCATAACTCAAAATTTTTCAGAATTGATTACTTTCCAAAAATAGACGATATTACTAACGTCCGCCGAAATTTCTCCTTTATCACTATATTCCTTAACATGATACTTTAATATTTCGCGCAACAGTGCGGTTGTGATTGCATCTCGAACAATCCCATACTATTAAGATTGTTTTCGTTTTGCTTAGGTCGCTTGCGCAGTTCAGCAGTCTTTCTTGAACATTTTTTATTTTTTGAGTTGTGACTGTTTTTGATTTAGGATGCGATATGTGCAAATAATTTTATCATGATTTAATCATCTACATACGTGCATGAATTGATGATGTCATGAGGCATTAAATAAAATATCTAATATTTATTACACTAGTATACAAATATTCCCTTAAAAAGTGGTATCCCGTTACAAACTGGGTTTTGGACTAGTTTCTGGTCGCTGATCACGAAAATGAGTTGCATTTATTTTTTCAAATAACCGTTTTCGTGGTAAAATAATTAAAAATGTTAGGACGGAGAACAAAGTTTATCAACTAAAAGTAATGAACCAAAATGAACAATTGGAAGGTTCATTGTGTTTCGAATTTAAACGCCTATAACTCAAAAAGCTCTATTGCTATTGACAAAAACAAAACACAAAAAAACATAAAAGAAAGATTAGTTCTATTCGCTTTTCTGGAGTTTTGTGGAAATAACTCCAAAAATACTTTAGATATTTTGGCTATAGATACATATCGTCACCTGAAATGCAAAATAACGTAACCACATCGTCACTGAAATGCAAAAACTCTTAACTTATAAAAAATTAAAAATTATCTTTTTGATTGCTATGATGGATTTCATCGAATTACAACTGCCCACATCGTTTTATGAAAAAAAATTACGACTTTTTCCATTTCAGTGGCTATGTTGTTATGTTATTTTGCAAATCAGGTGAGGATATGTACATATGTACCTACCTCGAAAACATTTCTTTGGAAAAATAAGTTTTTTAGCAAAGTACTTTTTTCGTGTAAACTAGTGTTTTTTATTTCTTTTTAATTATGGTGAAATAACTTGTATCACCTGCTGAGGCAGAATAGTTATAGACAAAATACACGTATTTTTATTCTTATCTATGAGCGATCAAAAATACAATTTGTTTATTTTTTACATGCATGTACATACATATATGCACATTTGTATACATATATATGTACATATATATATATATATATATATATATAGTCTGTGAATTTAAATTATCAGGACTAACATATATATACAGATGCGTGCAACTAATTAGCAACGAAATTCAAAACGATATTGCTTGCAAATTATGTTTATTTATTTATTTTTAATAATTTTCATTTAAAATATAATTCAATCTATAACAGAAATCGCAATAACAAATGTTGCAAAGCTTGCACAAATTGCAAAAAAATTAATCAAACTTAAAAAAATCGTCATCAAAATTTCAAAATTTTTAATTAGAATATATAGAAAATGTTGGGGTAAGCAGTTTTGTAGCCCATTCAATTTCAGTATAATAAAATGGAAGTTTCAAGTCGCTAAAAATTACCGTTGATTTTTTAGA